ATTTCACTTTTAAGTGAAGTTCCACTTTAAGCACACCTGTAAATATAGGCTGTTATTCCTGCATTACATCTGTAGCAGGGGTGGACTGACAACTCATGGGGCCCCTGGGCAATAGGGGATCATGGGGCCCCTGTGTCCTTGTCCAAAGTCAAAAAAGCCTATGAATAAGGTACCAGGGACATCTCATGGGGCCCCCTACTGACCCCGGGCCCTCGGGCAGTGCCAGAGTTTCCAAATGGTCAGTCCGCCCCTGATCTGTAGGGGAAGTCAGAACCTCTTGTTCTGTTTCAGTAACATATAATCATTGAACATGTTGAATCAGCATACAAGCCAGGCTCAGCAATAGCAGCTTACTCTCCACCCACCACTTCCCCTGTAAAGGTTTCCTTTAAATCTCTGCAGAGCATTTGAATAAAGCATATTCTAAGCACATTTCTGTGGTTTTGCTAACACATTTCTTTATCTATAAATCGGTCTGTGTATAATAAAACGAAGACCTTCTTTCCACTGTCAATAAATGACTGAGACACTTGGTCTAAATGTATTTATTGCTTTTATTATTATGGTAATGTTTCTTCTTTGCAACGTTTATACAATGTGAAATTCTACCTTTTTTTCCAAAGTAATTTTTATTAGAAGATTTTTTGCAAGTCCAAAAGGTATAGATCTGATACAAATAGCAGTGTTACAATAAATACTATATATAGAAACAGAAATAAACATTCCTGTGAGTCTTGTTATCCATGCAGTAGTGGAAGAACGGCGCTGAAGCACTGTTTATATCCATCCAAGGTGTTTAAATAGCCATGAGATTAGCAAGTAGAAAAATGTGTGTTTTACACCCACTTATCTGTAGCCTTTGAGAAGGCATTCAAATGTTTGTGGAGGTGGTGTGTTGAAGAAAACACTTTAGCACTGCTAAATTTAATTTAAACTTAAACACTTTAGAAAAAAATACCTAGAAACACAGCAGGGGGCAATTTAGAAAACTTCAGACAGTTTTTTTTTATTGCTGCCTATAACCCTGTTATCAATCCAGTTCCCAGTCCACTTCTGGTCCCGGTGACACAGGAAAGTGAGCAAATCTAGCCTACATTAACAGAGAAAACAACAAAAACCTAACAGAAGGTAAAAACTGTTATCACAGTAGTACTTTCAATTTCTTTGTTTCTGTTGGAGACATTCTGCTCACTTTCTGTCTTTGTGAAATACCAGGGGGAAATCTTTCTAGTGGGGGATACAATGAGTATTATATGTCCTTCTCTAGTCTATCCAAAACTATTAAGAAAAGGTATGGCTGGAATCCTGCTTTGATGTGAAATACTCATTTTACTATGACTGACTGCTTAAAACAAAGACAGGCATACTGGGAGCATCTTAAAGTGTTACTAAACCCAGGACCCTGCATTCACTATATCTGGTCTCCCACAGTACACAGAACATGGAAATAATATTATTTTAGTAAATATAAAATGCTAAATACCTTTTCTCATCAGCGGTTAGAGAAGTCTCGTGACTTCTGTCAGTGTTCAGCTGAGCACTGGGTTAAAGCTTGTAGGAGGAGTGTTCATTCAAATCGTACTGTCCTATGATGCTGCATTATCCCTGACCCTTTCTCTGGACAGTACTGATTGACCCTGTGCTGATCACATGCATCCCCCCCAAAAAAAGAAACTCTCTAGCAATAAATACACACCAAACTGAGCATGTGCAGAGTGCCTCCTAGGGCTCTATACTATCAGCATATGGATTGGCAAGGGGAGGGATCATGGAACACGGGATCACATTTTTTACGCAATGCGGCGGATTAACCCTTTGGGTTCCACAGTGAGTAAACCAAGCATGCTTTACTGCATATACAGACTGATTTTACTGTTTGGTTTAGTATCACTTTAAAGTGTGACTAAATGCAAAACTTTGTTTTAGTTTTGGATACAGAGGAGAGGGATACGAACATCTGTCAGTTTGTATTGCTGTCTATGTTCTTGTTAGGGAGATTCACCCTCTCTCTTTGTCCTGTTTAACCTCCCTAGCGGTATGATTATTTCATATTTTTGGTGCTGAAAGCGGTACCATTATTTTGCATGGAAACATGTAGTTTTTTTATCGTAGGCTGTAATTTTTAGGAATAACTCACTGAAATCTGTCCGAACAAGATTCTAAATCATACATTTAATTCAATAATATAATCAAACCAAAAACACTGAAATTTGAAATATAGCGCCAAGTTCGCACATCACTGAGCAAAGTCGTAGAATCGTTTTCAGTGTCTGATGATGAATTTCCCCACAAATCATTATCACTCAATTCTGCAAGTGGTTCTGAATTACTATCGCTGTTCTCTAGCTGTTCTAAACCTGCTTTTGACCTAAAGGGACACTTTTTGGACGCCATGGACTTTTCTACATTTCCAGGCAGAAAGAACAATCAAAATGCAGACAGGGGACAGGACAAAGCACTAGGGACAAAATGTACGTGAAATGGGTAGAAACAGCAATGTTTTACTATGTAGAATCGTTTTGAAAAAAAATACATTTTTTTTAAATTTTCAAATTTCCCGCCGCCGGCGGCGCCCGCCCGTACGTCCCGACGTCGCGGGGACCGGAACACAGGAGCCGGATGCCGGCATCAGACGGAGGTGATGGCCGGGGACGCTGCAGGGGACACATCGCGGGAGCCAAGGACAAGGTAAGTGCTGCAGGGACTCCCTATGCAGCGCTGCATGGTAAGCCCGAGTGTAGCTCGGGGTTACCACTTTTGGTATAGACATTTTACCCCGAGCTACACTCGGGAATACCGTTAGGGAGGTTAATGTTATCATTGAAAGTGAAGGTAAAAGAAATATAAATGTATGGGTTAACACCGGAACGGTAATAAAGGGGAAATCTGCCAATGGAGACCCTATTTCTGGTGATCCTGTTGATACCCCGGGATGCCTTCACTTTGGAGGGATTTCCTCTCACTTCCTGTTTTGGTTATAGGACGGGAATAGAAGGGAAATCTCCCCAACGGGTCACAGATAGCAAAAAAAAAAAAAAATACTAACAAGGGTTATAGCCCTCTCTGTCCAAGATGGAAAACAACAGTTTTGCCTTCAGTTCTACTTTAAATGAACTGTCCTTCAAGTATGTACATCACAAGAAATAGATCTGTGACTTCTTCAATAGTGCAAGGGAAAAAGTTCAAAGTGCAGTAACCCCAAAGTGCATTAACAACTACTAAATTGCTTTAGCTACTATGGCTTGCACTTTGCACTTTCTTCGGTGCGCTGCTGCAACCACAAGTAATGTTTTGCTTGTGGTTGTGGCATGGCCCTATTCACTTGAGTGGGTTCCATTTAGTGGCAGTACTGCTCAAAAGGGGGGATATTTTTTTCTGCGACATGAAGGGGGGCCTTACTGGGGTAAAAGGGCTAGAGGGTTGAAGGGGGTCTGTACTGAGGGAGTAAATTGGGTGGGCTAGAAGGAGGGTCTGTAATGGTGGAGGTGGGCTGGGAGGAAAGCCTGTACTGGGAGCTGGTCTGTACTGAATATAGTGGGCTGGAAGGAGGGCTGAGAGCTGTGTGTGTGTGTGTGTGTGGGGGGGGGGGGAGGGGGGGGGGGGCGATCTGTACTGGGGTGAAATGGGGTTGTTGGGGGAGATGTGTACTTTGAGGGATAGGGAATTGGAGGAAGGGGGGGTTATCCAGGGAGGAGGGGGTAATTTTTAATTGTATTCTATACACTGGCCTGTGCATTTTTTCCATCTGAATCTTAGACTCTGGGCTATAAGCACTCCAGATTCCTGCACCCTGTATGATATGCACTGCAGACCAGGGGCAGACTGGCAACTCTTGGGGCCCCGGGGCAATAGGGGATCATGGGGCCCCTGTGTCCTTGCCCAAATTCAAAAAAGCCTATGAAAAAGGTACCAGGGGCATCTCATGGGGCCCCATAATGACCCTGGGCCCTCGGACAGTGCCCAAGTTTCCAAATGGTCAGTCCACCCCTGCTCCAGACCCAATTTACTCTGTACAATATACACTCCAAACCCCTTAACTTTGTAAGATATATATTCCTGACCTTTGCACTCTGTACTGCTAACCACTATACTCCATACTCTTTGATGTCCTGATTTTTACACTGGCTCCCAATACTGTGGACAAGGGGAATATGTTTGCAGCCAACCCTAACCACCAATATTTTGGACCAAAGTGTTTCTTGTCTCAACAGTTGTTGGACTGCTAAGCATTCACTGAATATTTTATGAAGTTCTTAATTAAGGTTGGCTAAAATGCATATGTAATGAAGATATAAACACCACCATAATAATTTAGATATCAGTGCACAACACTAGGATTCACAAATGTTGCACAGCTCATCAAATGCTTTATTAACATAGTGACCAGTGCAGCGCTGCACCCCCTACTTTACCAGACCAATTTTCAGCTTTCAGCACTGTCGCAATTTGATTGACAATTGCGCGGTCATGCAAGATTGTACCCATATGAAATTATTATAATTTTTTTCTCACAAATAGAGCTTTCTTTTGGTGGTATTTAATCGCTGCTGGGCACTTTACTTTTTGAACTATAAACAAACAAATGCAAAAATTTGAAAAAAAAAGTTTTGTTTCTATTATAAAATTTTTCAAACAGGTAATTTTTCTCCTTCACTGATGTGTGTTGATGAGGCAGCACTGATGGGCACTAATAGGTGGCACTGATGGGCACTGATAGGCAGCACTGATGGGCACTGATAGGCAGCACTGATAGGCAGCACTAATGAGGTGGCACGGATAGGCGGCACTGATAGCCGGCACTAATGAGGTGTCATGGATAGGCGGCACTGATAGGTGGCACTGATAGACAGCACTGATAGGTGTCACTGACTGGCATCACTGCAGGGCACTGACTGCCGGCACTGCTAGGCATTGACTGGCGCAACTGCTGGGCACTGACTGGCATAACCGCAGGGCACTGACTGGTGGCACTGACTGGCAGCACTGCTGGGCTGCACTGATGGGCACTGGTGGGTGGCACTGGTGGGCACAGGTAGAAGGCACTGGTGGGCACAGGTGGGTGGCACTGCTGGGCACAAGTAGGTGGCACTTCTGGGCACAGGTGTGTGGCACTGCTGGGTGGCACAGGTGGGTGCACTGATGGACACAGGAGGGTGCACTGCTGGGCACAGGTGGGCACATTGCTGGGCACAGGTGGGTGCACTGCTGAGCACAGGTGGGAGGAACTGGTGGGTGGCACTGCTGGGCACCAATCATCAGGGCACTGATCATCAGTGCCCTGATGATCAGTGCCGATCTCTGCTCTGACAACTGCCAGTTCTCGGCAGTACTTTCCTCACGCTCTGACAGCGTGAGGAAAGTGCAGCCGAGAACCGGCAATTGCATTTCCAGGTGATCAGCCGCGTCATTGGACACGGCTGATCACGTGGTAAAAGGCCGCTGTGATTGGCCTTTTACCACATCACGTGATCAGCTGTGTCCGTAGGACACAGCAATGACGGAGATTGCTGGGTGCGCGCAGGAGAGCACGTTCTGGGAGGACATCATATGACGCCCTCCCAGAACTGGCCGGCCGCAGTGTAGCCGTCATTCAACTATCTGCAGTTGGCAAGTAGTTAAAAAGAGTTATGTTTTACCTTTTTTTTTTTAATGGCAGCCTAAATGGTCAAGTCAGTCAAAGGCTGTTTAATTTGCTATGAGGTGCGCCAAGACTTATTATTATACATGATTTATATAGCGCCAACAGTTTGCTCAGCGCTTTACAATATAACGGGAGACAACACAGCAACAATACAGTTCAATACAAGAGGGATAGGAGGACCCTGCTCCTTGGAGCTTACTTAATTTTGCCTAAAAGCCTAACAGTTTTTAATACCTTTTAAAGCTGACATTTAAAAAAGCATAATATTCAATAGATTCAAGTATTTGCATTGTCAAAGTTAAATAATAGATACAAAAGAGCAGGAGTAATTTTCACCCTAGAGTTTAAAATCGAAATGCTCAGATTTAAAAGAATTTAGAAAATGAGACATTTGCCCTAAACCTGATTAGGCAGCTAACATTAACAAAAGCTGAAGTAAATAATGCTAGTAAATCTAGTAAATTTACCCCAAGGTATACATATTTGTCTTTTCATGATTTGATAAATTGAAAAAAAAGTTATGCATTTGCCTTTTAGAGAAAAATTACCCAAAATCCTACATTCTAAAGTGTCTCTAAGATTTACCACATTACATATAGCCTAAATCATTTGCTGTTTGAAAAGTAGATAATGTGCATTACCTCTAAGAATGTAGCATTACCATTAAACCTGCAAAATATGTTTTGCATAGTTTTCTTGGAGCCTTCTTTTGGGCCCTGAGGTAGAATGTCTAAGAATAAGAAGGAAAAAAAAACATGTAAGGATTTGTCAAAACACAAATTGCAAATTGCAAATTATCAGCATGAATGAGCACAGTAAAAGCATGTCAGCTACACAATTATTGATTTCTATGTCAGGATATGTCAATAACTAGTGGTGTATATGTGCATGTGTGTGTATATATAAGTTAACAACTCAATGCATTTAGGCATCTGGATGTGGTGAAGACAACTTGCTGAAGTTCAAACCATGCATCAGAATGGGGGAGAAAGGGATTTAAGTGAGTTTGAGCGTCACATGTTGTTGGTGTCAGACGGGTTGGTCTGAGTATTTCAAAAACTGCTGATCTACTGGGATTTTCACACACAACCATCTCCAGGGTTTACAGAGAATGGTTTGAAAAAGAGAAAATATCAGGTGAGCGGCAGTTGTGTGGAAGAAATGCCTTGTTGATGTCAGAGGTCAGAGGCAGACTGGTTTGATATGATAGAAAGGCAACAGTAACTCAAATAACCATTCGTTACAACCAAGGTATACAGAATACCATCTCTGAACGCATGACACATCGAACTTTGAAGCAGATGGGCTCTAGCAGCAGAAAGCCACTCCGGGTGCCATTCCTATCCTTTCCTAAAACTGGAAATGGAGGCTACAATTCAAAATTGGACAATAGGAGAGTGGAAAAACATTGCCTGGTCTGATGAGCCTTGATTTCCCTAGAGATGGTTGTGCGTGAAAATCCCAGTAGATTAGAAGTTCTTGAAATACTCAAACCAGCCCGTCTGGCACCAACAACCATGCCATGTTCAAAGTCACTTACATCCCCTTTCTTCCCCATTCTGATGCTCGGTTTGAACTTCAGTAAGTCATTTTTCCCACATCTAGATGCCTAAATGCATTGAATTACTGCCATATGATTGGCTGATTAGCAATTTGTGTTACCAAGCAATTGAACAGGTGTACCTAACAAAGTGGCCAGTGAGTGTATACACATGCACATGTAGCAAGATAGAGACCAGGTATTTATCTGATTTGTTTTGTTAAATGATTGTGTTATGATTTACTATTGTAGCTCATGGCCATGTGATCCAGACTAAAGCCTTATACATCTACAGGCTTCTAATTTAAATCTTAAAATTAGCCAAACACTCTCCCTGTATATATATTCCAGTATTTGTTGCACATAATATCACTATCATGTTTTACTGGGCTATAGTAGAAATGGTTGTCCTCTGATAATCTTTAAAAAAAGATCAGCAAATTGTGTTTCCCTATGCTTTCACTTATACAATATATTTACAATCATATCTGATTGATCATAAAACAATGGTGTTGACCCCGCCACAGCATCTCTTTGCAGTCACAAGATGTGCTCGGTATTCCTGTTTAAATGACTTCAAGCATCATGAAGTTTGAGTGCAGGGCATCACAACCACCCTCCTCCTTCCTCGGTGGTATTTGCTATTGACTTTGCTTACTGTATATGGCTTCTGCAATTTGACCGCATTCAAATTTTGACGTGCATTGGCTAAGTGCTGGCTTCTTTACTGATTGGTTGATGATGATGTTCCCCCGAGCCATACCCTTCTGACTAAAGAAGGAAAAATATGGGTCTGGTGCTGGATGGATTTATAACAATGGTTTAAATCAGGTCTTGAAATTTCCACTGGCCTGCTCGCCAATGGCGAGTGGAAATTATGGTGGGGGCGAGTGTGTCCCCTAGGTCTCTCTTGCTGGGCAGGCTCGGAGCTCAGGCCATATCTGTCAGTGGCACTGGGAGCCATCAGACTGCTCAATAGCTGAGCGCAGTGAAAGCAAAGGAAGGAGTGTGTGCTCTGCTCTCTGCCTCCCCCTAGAGTGCAGTACCCGGCTCTGTGAGTGAACAACGAAGTACTGCAACTTTTTATAGGGCTGTGTGTGTGTGCCTAATTTCAGCTCACTCTGGTCACATGATCCTCTATGTCAGCCAGTGGTGGCTTCAGGGGAGAGGACAGAGCACTTAACAGCATACGTGCATGTGTGTGTACATGTATGTGTGTTTGTGTGTGTCTGTGTATGCATGTACATGTGTCTGTGTGTCAGGGATCCCGGGCGCTCGTGGGTGCGTGCATGCGCAGATCGCCGACGCACACTAGCCAGCGAGCACTGGGACTTAGGCAATCGCTGCAATGGCGGTGGCCACGCATGTGCACTCGCAATCGCGGATGGGCGCCTGTCACCAATGAAAGCACATTGCGCCCTATTTAAACCAGCCCTGTGCATCTCCAAATCGCCTTATGGTCTTGTTTCTGTGTTCCTGATTGTCCTGTACTTCTGACTGCCTTGTTGCTGACCCAACCTGATCCTGATACTGTTGTCCTCTCCTGCTCTGACCTTTGGCTTGTCCTGACCATTCTCTGCCTGATTCTATTGCCTGACCTCCTGTTGCTGAACCCGGCTTGTGACCTGATTATTCTTTGCCTGCCGCTCTGTACTGTCTGCTCCGCTGTTACCAACCTGGCCTGTCTGACCACGTTTTAGCTCTTCACATCTGGCTCTTACCTGCTTTAAACCATTGGCGGCTGCCTTTACCACAGCTGGTGTTATTCAGGGGTCGCGACGTGGTCTCAGGCTGCTTCAAGTCCATCCCCACCATCAGGGGCCCCAGCAGACTGAGGCTTAGGCTCTGCGCCCTGAGGGACTCCGGCCTGTGGGTCGCTAGAGGCTACCGTCAGTCGGCTCGTGACACTGTGTGTATGTACATGTGTGTATCTGTACATGTCTGCATGTATGTACATGTATGTGTGTGTGTACATGTCTCTGTGTGTGTGCATGTACATGTGTGTGTATGCATGTCTGTACGTGCCTGTGTGTGTATACATGTGTCTGTATGTGTGTGTATGTACATGTTTCTGTTTGTGTGTGTACATGTCTGTGTGTGTACAGGTGTCTCTGTTTGTGTGTGTTTGTTGGTGGCGAGTAACTCTTAAGGCCTGGCTAGTAGCTCAGGACTTGATAATTTAAGTCCTGGTTTAAATTGCTGTCTGTGCTCCTGCTGGGAAGGTTCACCCTTTCTGTTTTTTTTTCAGTTGACTATTAGTATCAGGACATAAAGTGATGGGTTATCCAATATTTTATATTTGTCACTGGAACAGAAAACAAGCAGAAATCTTGAACTGGGGCCACCCAGTCCTGTGGTAGTTGTCTCAGACAGAAATTCCCCCTATTATGGGGAGGTTACCTCTTGCTTCTTGTTGTATCTTCAGGTAAAAACAAAAACAAAGCAAAGAGCAAACAACAAAAAATGTGGCTATAAATAAGCTTTGAATTTAACTATAATGGAAGCAGGGGCGGACTGACCATTTGGAAACTCGGGCACTGCCCGAGGGCCCGGGGGTCAGTAGGGGGCCTCATGAGATGCCCCTGGTACCTTTTTCATAGGCTTTTTTGAGTTTGGGCAAGGACACAGGGACCCCATGATCCCCTATTGCCCAGGGGCCCCATGAGTTGTCAGTCTGCCCCTGAATGGAAGTATACTGCAGGACTTCAAGACTTTCCCATTTTTTATGAACATGACTTTGGGAGCCCCTGTTGTCTTTTGAACACAAAAGCTTTGATCACCATTTTTGGTATACCTGTTATGCTGTGATGTTGTAGCTACACCGCTGGGGTTTGAGCTCCTTATTTAAAGGTTATGTCTGTATGATTGCTAATTGCTTTACAGCCATCTCTGGGTGTCTCTATCTGGAGGGCAGTGGTTCTACCCTGGCTTTTTAGATGCGCCTTCTTGGGACATGTTATAAAATTCCAGTAAATTATATTCTGTGATACTCCTGTAAAAATCCAGATTGGGTTCAAATGTATTGATTCCTTCACATGCACTTTCAAGGAAGGATTTCAGAAATGCATTGTGCTGACATGTGAATAATGTTTGGAATCTATACATGTTGCAAACCACTAAGAGGAGAGTATTGTTTTTGTATATGTTGTAAATGTAATTTAATAAAATTGTTTTCTATATACGTCAGCTTAAAGTTCTATGGCT